AGTAAGAGGTTTGCACACGTTGGGTTCTACATGAAGTGATGAGACTCTCCCGTGTATGTTTCTTCCCAAGAAGTCATTGTAACATTACTACATACTGTTGCTACACAGGATATTTCATTGAGTGACAGTGTACCAATCCTCCCTCTACAAGGAGAAAACAGAAATGTGCTGAAATCCAAAGATCATCTGTGACATATGCTCAGATCCGAACTCATTATTAATGCCACCTGTCCTATGACACCCCACCCCGCTCTCAGCCGCTCTACGCTGGCAGCCTTGGCAGTTGCTAAGGTCTGGTGGGTGTTTGCGACCACTTGACCCCGGCTGTTACACAACACACACCTCCAGCTCTAGCCTCGGCGGAGAGTGTACGTGTCTGTATGCCAGTGTGAGCCAGAGCGAGTGGGCGTGTGTACGTCAGTCTCTTCCTGGGAGTGAGTGTGAAAATGTTTTTTGGGCAGCTGACTGGATGAGCTGCTCCACTTATTGTCTACGGCAGGTAATCCTGATGTGAGTGTCACTGCCGGAAGAGATGCTGGGAGGATAGGACTGATTTGACTGTGGGCACACAAATATATTCTCACCCCTTGCCCTTTTAAAAACACACACACACACGCTCATACAAAGCAGCATTCAGCAGCTGAAACCAAGTGCCTGGCTCTCAGCTGACTCAGTCCAAAGGGCATGCAGACTGACATTACATAACATAGAAATGCCCTTGCCTATGTTGTTCTGACATAATAAGGGACCAGTGTGGCTAGCTAATGTTTGTTAAACAACACTGACAAGCAGCAGACTCATGAAACTGAACAGCTCACATGGTGTCTGGGTGACAGAAAAACACTGTGAGCGCGGCTGCAACGCACAGCCATATTTCAGAGGCAGGTTATTCTGGTTCAGCGGGGCTTCAGTGCAGTGGGTCAATAGGTGAGTACGTATGTGGAGCTACAGGCTCGTGTGCCGTCAGCCTAGGGCTAGAACCTACATTTCTCTGGCCTAATTTCACACTTTGTAAATGCATGGGACTGGTCCGAGTGCTCTCCTCTGGTCGGAAATTAGGTGAGTGTGCAAGTCGAGCTTGTTGCATAAAAACAGTTGCAACCGAGTCGTCCCTTGACACCCAGTAGGTGGAAAATAAAAAAACTAGAACTAGGTAAGCGTGACGCACGTTGCCTGACCAGCAGTAAATCACCACGCTGTCCTCACTCTCGCCCTCTGACCCCGCCGGTAACTGCCCAAGACTAGCTGGGAGGAGAGAAAGCGTGGCGGTGGCTGGAGTCGTGTTACGTGGACGTAAACATGCACACACACAAGCATACACGCTCTTGGTACTGTGTGCACCAACAGAGGGGAGGGGACATGGACAAAATAGGACTTTGAATGTGTGTATGGAGATTTCACTGAGCCAATATTGCTGGAGTGCAACGATGGATGTTGTTGCACTCCTCTTTCTATCATCAAGCTACTGGTGGGAGAAACTGGCTAAAGGCTGTGAATGTTCTAAAGTTGAATACGACGGGCTGCGCTCATAATTTGTCTTACTGCTGGGCATGAGGTGTCTCCTCCACACACACAAGCTCATGCACACACATGCAAGAGCCGAAATCCCAGGCCCAGGCCTCAGTGCCATTTATTATTCAGGCTGTCCACTGAGCTGCTGGTTTGGATCAGCTAGCACTGGCAGGATGGAAGCCCTGAGAGTGATGGGGACTCAGACAGCACCAAAAAGAAATTTAAAATCATACTCAGGCCTAAAATGTCTGCCTGACACTACTGAAAAATAGGCCTAGTTTGCTTAATGTTTGGTCCATTGCAACCAAGTCACAGCCTGGTATTATAACTGTGACATTATCTTATTTTTGTAGTATTGAAATGCTGTTTAACTAGCCATGCTAGCAGTTGCATGTTAGCATCAGCTTGCTACCATGCTCACATTGTCAACACTAACATGCTGAAGTTAAGCAGATATAATGTTTACCATGCTCACCAACTTAGTTTAGCATGTTAGCATGCTAAAACTTGCTAATCAGTAATAATCACAGTACTACTGAAGTACTGGACAAATTAAAATGTTAACCTGATAATAATAATAAATATTATTATACACACTGTAGCAAAAAGTAGAGTTATAGTATACAGTATAGTATATACTATAGTTTGACTTTCTTTGTGAAAAGATTCCACCATGATTCCTTCTTGTTGCAAGTTTCCAGCAGTGTAGAGTTTGACAGCATTATTTTGCAATGTGCAACTGTTAGAAAAACATACTGGCATTGATAAAAGGAATTGATAAGCTGCAAAGCATACAATTCTGATGGATCAGACAATTTGAAACTGGTTTTCGATTTTTTAAATACCAATGAAATGATCATTTATTAACAACTTCCCTTTTAAATCTGGGTAAAAAAAAAAAAGATGCTCCAAACTTTACAGCGATTCTTAACAATCTGATGTTAGAAAATATGTTCCATCTACCAATGTGCACAAACACACACACACACACACAGACAAAAGACATTTTGACATACCTGTTCTTCTCCATTTCATTGTGCGTAGACCTGTGGAGATAAAATACATATGAGAAACCACAGATAATAACAGAGCCACTGATTAAACAGGGTAAGGTTTCCTCTCTGTGTGTCATCAATGCAGTCCAAGGCCTTACTGCAGGGGAGTGAGACAGAGAGAGAAAAGGCTGTGTGGGAGTTTATGAGCAGTCACAACGGCTGACAAAATGAGATTCTAGGAAATAAGACGAACAGGCTGGGTATTCTGATGCCTGAGGCTCGTTCTACAGAGGACACTTGTGCTTTTTTAAAGGGCTGCACTCAAATACGCAATGAGGAGGAGGCCTGGGGTAAACATAGTAACAGTAACTAGAAACAGAAGACAGGAGCGAGGAGTAGACGGGACTATGCCCCTTCATATTGCCTGATTATCCACTGTGCACGTAGCACCGGGAGTGGGGGGAGACTAAATGCTGAAGGTAAACTGAGAGATGGAGGTGTGCTAGTGGCCTGCATGACTCCTGCATTGCAGTGTTAAAGCAACACACACACACACACAGGATGCAGAAACAGGGTTAAGTGTAGTTTTTGGAAGTAATATGCTGGCCTGAGCTGTGTGGAGAGGGGTGAATAGGTGGTGGTGGTGGGCGAAAGGCAAAGAAGAAAGATTCCTGAACTCTCCTCTACCTCCACCTGACCTTCCGATCCCCCAACCCCAGGTCCCAGAATAGCCTCTGGACCCCTGCTAGGCCCAACACCGTCACTTTGCCATGGCCATGATCCTTGGATGACTCTCTCTCTCGGTCTCTCTCTCTCTCACACACACACACACAAATATTCATGTTCATGCTTGACAACTTACTTTCAAGACTAAGCTTAGAAATAATGTCTTTCACTATCCTCAGTTGCAACCTTTGAACAGCGTGTCATGTCTGTGTGTGTGTGTGTGCGTCTGTCTGTGTGTGCGGTGTGGGGTATCATCTTGTTTCAGCTTCGGGTCCTCTTTATCTCACTTGGCCCCCTCTGACCAGTGTGCATTCCTGTGCAGGGCAGACAGCCGCTGGTGACATAATGGTGCTAGCAGGGAAATGATCCCACATATTCAGGCTAGATTTCAGGCTCTGGGACGGATCCCGCCTCCTGCTCTAGCCCCATAACCCTCTACCCCTCCACCTAACGCACCCAGGACATGACAAGGAACAGCTGATATTAAGTTATTCTGAATAGTGACCAGATTTTGTACTGTGAACAATGTGCAATAATGTGCTCTGCTCCATTTCCATATCAGTACATTACATTGGATCCCTGGTCTACTAAATACGCACATGGAGCACAACATCACACTTACATAATATCTGTGAAAAGAATAACATCCCAAACTACAAAAGAAGAAGAACCAGGTTCCAAGTCAGCCTGGTTCCAGACCTCTAAAGTCCACTTGCATTTTTTTTTTTTTTTTTAATTGCTCCTGGCGGCTACAATAGCAGCATGCATGACAACTGAAATAATGGTGATGGGATGGATATGTTGCTTGGTACGGACGGTCTAATGATAAGTTTCAGTCTTATAACTCCACATTCAGTCTCCCATAATGATCTGGTCATGGGTTGTTATCTTTTGGGGTCCTCGATGGAGAGAGTTTAAAAACCGAATCGGAATTATCCTGGATCACTGAATTGTAGACGGTAGAGGATTCACTGGTGCATTTCCTCCGGCTCTACCATTAACCTGTATTTTAACTTCTGAAGCTCTGCTGTAGCCTCACCCAAGTCAACTGCATTCAAATGAAAAACAGGATGACGAGCATGGAAAGACTTCATTTGCCTGCTCAACAAGGATGGCGAGATCACTGTATAATTTCTATAGTGCACTGCTTATACAGTGTGTGTGTTGAGTGGGGGAGGACTCTCACATCTATGTAATGGAGGGGCTGGTGCTCTCCACTGCCTGCCAAGAGTGAGAACAGAGCAGGAAAGACACAGAGGGGTGGAGGAGGTGAGGAGAGATAGGAAACACAAGAGGAATAGAGAGAGATGGAGGGGGGAGGCACTACTACTGACACACATGCACACGTACACACCAGAAACACAGTGACTCCCATCCCCCACCACTCACACATCCACGCCATGGAGAAACAACACACACACTGCAGGGGCTTGTACATACTGGCTTGAATGGCTTCACATGCATACACGGCAAATTCATTCCGTCATAGTGGTGGTCTGCCTATCAACGATCAAGAGCCAACACCATCCCAGACCGTATCAAACCATCTCAGCTGAGCAGGAACCCTTTTTAATAGTTTAATAGTAACAAGTGTGGCTCTGCTGCCCTTAAGTAGTAATGAGTAATAGCGGATAAAGTGCTCATAGCTGATGAGGGATTGCTGTAGCTTCACATAACCTTGTAGTTAAACCACATTAAATGGTCAACGTAAATGCTGGTAAGCTCAAATCTTTTCTGAAACCAGGGCAATCCTGCAGCAGCTAGTGGTCTACTTGACATACAAAGCTAGTTCCACATTTTCTTCACAAGGCATGTCTAAAAATAATGTGCCTGCTAAGCATGTTGAGACATGTTGTGAGCTGTATGTTCTTACAGCACTCCACATCCTGCGGCTTTTAGTGTATGGAGGACACGGAAGAACATACTAATTTTGTCACAGTCATTGACGAGGCTGTTAAGCCCAACTGACAAAATCCGTCACCAAATATTTGAGTAGCACCAAGGTCCGTGTTAAAAGTCTTTTGTGCAAACGTATACACACAACGAATGAATGAATGTCTCCCTGTTTAACAAGGACACTAATTAGGTAAAAGCTTGTTATTACTCAGATTTTTCTTAAATTAAAAGGACTTAGGAGGTAGGTAGGATTTAGTGGCATCTAACAGGGAAGTTGCAACTAATTGAACACCGCTCGAGTCTGTATTTGACGACCTAGGAATGAGAACAGGCTGTGAAGTGTGTAAGAAAACTATGGTGATGGCAAAACGCAACTACTGTAGAAATATGGCAGTTTAACATGGCGGACTCCATGGAAGTCAATTTCAGATGATCATTAGACACATACACCTAATGAAAACATACTATGAATATTATAAGTTCCATTTTTGCCAATAGATATCCTAAAATGTTACGACTGGACTTTAAAATTTAGTCCCATTGTCAGGAAAGGCAGCATTTTTGGAGTCTTAATGAATCTTTTAGGTCATTTATGAAGAAGAAAATGCGCAAACATTCTCTGGTTGCAGCTTCTCCACTGTGAGGATTGTTTTTTTTATATCATTTGGTTTGGGAATGTTCATTTGAATCCTTCACCTTGTGACAGATGCTATTCACTATGAAAATAACTAGTGGCAGTCATACATTGAGATGCAGATGGTGCAAGTAGGGCTGTGATTCAATTTCAGGGGTTTGTGTACAGGCTTCTCAAATGTTGTGTATAGCAGTCTTATATACATATATGTTACACAGGGTGAGAGGCCCCTATATATAACACATGCTTCACCTCAAGTGCTCTGCAAGTCAGATTGGCAGTGGAAGATGGACAGTGTGGACAACATGACGGACCCATGAATGGGTTAACTTGCATTATTTGACCTGGCTGCCACTACTCTACTCTTCTGTAACTCTTCTACATCACGGCATTTCATGGCTGCGTCCCACCTAATCTGGCATTTCTGGTGTGTACATTAATCGGCTGCTTCTCTCTACGCACCGGGCAGTGTTTTTGTCAGACGTCCTTTTTATCCTTTACTTTTTTTTTCATCTTTCTGATGAAAAGAAGGCACGCAGCGGTGGGTGGCAGCAATATGCCATTGTTGTGTCTACTGAAGAAGAAGGTCCCTCCATGTCACCGTTTATCTGAAAAATCTATTTCCATCGGCCTTTATTACATCTACTCTATACTGGCATGCCAACTTTTCTGCCTCCGCCAAGCAGAAAACTTGTGTGCACTAATTGGGTGTTTTTTTTCTAGCATTTCTATTCGGGGGTTTTTGTGTGCCTATACAGGTGAACATGATTTTAGAGTGCACATTGATCTGTGGGTGCAACACAAATCTGTCCTGATATGACTGATTTATGGAATTCTGGTTACGGACTCTGAATGTACAGTGTGTGTGTGTGTGTGTGTGTGTGTGAGTGTGCAGTCGTTTTTATCGAGGTGACGGGAGCTGCCAGTGCCCCCTCACTGATGTCTTCTGCAGTCACCTTGACTGACCCAGTTTGTGTTAACGAGTGGCCATTCGCTTTAAGCCACACCGATGTTTGCTGCTGTCAGACACACGCTTTACAGAAGACAAGGGGAAGTCAAAATATGGCCTTAACTCAACAGACTGACACAATCACAGCTTGTACTATCAGACGACCTATTCTAACGGCACACATTAGCCGTTAGGTATAGAGTGAATTAGAGTTGGGGGGTGTCAACATTTTCATATTGCGAGTTTGAATTCGCAAAAAAATAGCAACAAAAACCAAAAACAACAATGCTAAACAGATAACAGATTATATCTCAGCGATATGCTATTGATATGCTATATTCTGGGTGGAGAACCTATAAAAGCACACTCTTATTAACTTAGAGCTATATTTTCTCCAAAACAAATGGCTGTGGTTGTACCTGTGGGAGAATTAGAGATATACTTTCAGTTTCACTTTCAGTGCAGTTTCATATTACTCTAGTTTGAAATAAGTATTTCTAACTGCAGCACCAACAAATGCTGAACAAAATTATGTTCAATGTACTCATATATGATTCTGTGACCACAAATGGATAAATTGTGATTTGTAACGAGCAAAAAAACAATCCAGGAAACAATGGATTAATGCTACTGCACTCACTGGGGACTTGAAGTGGAGATATTGTGGGCACAAAGCTGAAAAATGATACAGTAGACATTTCCCGGCCACAAGGAGGTGAATGGCCTTTACCTGCTACTTGTGTTTTTCTTGCTCTTGCTTTTCCTTTTCAAGCTTTCCCTCTCCCGGCTGCTGATGAAGGGTGGCATGGAGGCATAGCCATGTTCAGCTTCTGCAAGCAAATAAACAACATTGTGGTCACATGTCCAAAGAAGCCGAACCAGGAATAGGAAGGCTGCAAAATGTGCCACATCTGATCTTGAGCCTTTTGGAATTCAGTGGCAGTGTGTTGTGCAGAAGTGCAGGCATGCAATGAATGGATTTCATGCAGTATCTTCATACAGTATTTTCTCCCCTCAGCCTGGACAATGATGTCATCTTGAACTGGAATAAACCCCACTAGCAAACCACAACAGAGGGAAAGGAGGGGCCTCCACGAAAACAATGTCTCCCTGCACATCGGACTGCATCTGCCACATATGCATTCATTCTCTCAGCACAAACGAAAGGCAAATGCACGTGTGTTTTTGCACATTTTTGCAGCACATCCCAAAAATGTCTTAACATTGATTGGCACCTTCTTTGAGTAGGCGATGCATTCTCCTGAACTGTTGTGCAAACCCCGATAACGTTAATGTATTTAATGCAAAGGGCAACAACAGGACTTTAAAATGACAGCTGCATAAATTAGCGTGATTTGGGGGAGGGGGGGTGTCATTATCATTTTACAGAAACACAACAGATCGTAGGAAACAATACAATTACACTTTACCTCTTTCCCTGCGATCAAGGAACTCGGCTGCTTCGATCAACATCTGCACCAGTCCGATCGCCGCCATTTTCAACAATAACGCTGATAATATAACAATCCGATGAGGGATTCCGTGGATGTACACAACCTGCTTCAGCTCCTACCACCGGCTCTCCTGCTCACACTCAGCTGGCTTGCTGCTCTCTCAGTTATTATTTTAAAAAGGCGAGAGGTAACGTTAAAGAGTTCCTCCTGCAGCGTGTCAAATGGGCTATTTAAAAGTTAAAGGTCGTGAATACAGCACCAAGCAGGTTTAAAAGCCCAACTGGTCTCCTCCTTGATGCTTGCTCAATGGTTCAGGTAGCGTTCAGGGTTAGCGGGCTGCTCGGGGCTGACGCTAACACTTTGCCCTCGTTATGAAGCGAACTGTTCGCTACGTTAAATGTCGGTTGGTTTTCTTTGTAGTTCTTCGACAAAAACAAAACCAGGGGTTGTTTGACATACACAAATAAGCCGAGTGTGGTTCTGTTTGGCAAAAACAAAAATAAAAAAATGAAGTTGGCTGACGTTACCGCTCGTGACAAGTTGCCAAATGAACGATATGAAGTTAAAGTTGTTAAAGTAGCTCGGTTGTTAAATATTCAGCCAGTAAAAACAAAAAGAACGTTGGCTTTTTTTTTTGCTGTCACAGACTTGCCTGGTGTGAAATGGATAGAAAAGCGAGCTAGCTGTCTTAAAGTTAAAACCCGACGATGTGATCCAACCTGTGCGGTTCTGGGCTGTGTGGCTGGCTAGTTTTGTGCTGGTTTATCGCTAATCACGCGTGACACGTCTCGCTGGAAACGCAGATAGCGACTGACAAACTGAGGAACAGTCAGTGTTTATCAAACTGCTTCCAAAATAGTGGCTTGTTGATCTGGACGACAGCTAACTACTGTACCTCACCACAAAGCTTCTGTATGCTGCGATATGATTGGCTACTGGGCACAACAACTCAAGCTCCTGTTGGGCGTTTACGACGTCAGTCGTCGAGAGGGTCGGCACCGACTGCAACTGACGACCCGGTTCGGCCATTTTGGTTCTTATTCACATTGGCGGAGGCACGTCTTGAGCCATAATGGACCGTCTCTGCGCTACGTACTCCTGCATCGTGATTGGTTGCTTTCTGACGAGCTTGGTAGCTATTGGCCACAATGCCCACGAGCTAGAGTGACAACGCCCGCTCCTGACAGAAGACACGCCCCTTTGCCATGCTGTTTCGCGGTGTATGTCATTGATTGGCTCCTGTGATGTTGTCTTATTTCGGGTTCAGGGATTGGCCAGATTCACATGCTCTTTTTCTATTGGTCTCTTGCCTCTCCTGTCACAAGTATAACCGCGCAGGCGCACGCCCACTGTTTTCCGAAACATGATAGGAGTTAAAAGCCTGATTCAAAGAGAGACGGATGACCATTTTAAAGCTGGAAAAAACCCTGGAAGCTACGCGACGACCACATGGGATGGGTCTATCTGCTGTAAAACGTCCATAGTCTAGGGCTAAAGTGAATCCTTGAAGGAGAACCCAGCCGATAGCACACACTTGTAGAGAACACCAAATTAGAATCGATTTGGTGACACTCGCTTGAAAAACATAGAAGCAAACTACCCAAGTAGTATCTGAGTGTAGGCTTAGTTATATTTAAACAGTCAGCTGCACGAGACTGATCATATTGATCAATTTAAAATGTTATGTGCCACAGTCTAAAGACTACACATCAGAAAATGTCCCTGCACATAACTGAAGGTGCAAATCTGGCTTTACATTTTTTTTTCATAATCAGGACTGTAATCACACATTTCTGAAATGCTTTTATTTGAGATAAAACCCAATACACCTCAACAACACTACGCTCTATGCATTGTGTCCACAGCCATCTATCAATATTCAGCTGTGGTTTTTGCAAGCACTATTATTCACATGTGTTCACTTATAGTAAAAGGTATATACACACAATTGCTGCATAACACAAAACAGGTTTGAAATAACAAAAAATAGCACAGTATCATCCACTACTGCGAGGGGAGAATGGAGGTAAGCTTCATCACAATGAGTTGTTGATACTTTTAGGCGATGAAGTCCAGTGGTCTGTTGAATCCACCTTTTCTGTTCATGTACTGCCTAAAAAAAATAAATATATAAAAACACATTACATCACTGTTACCCTCGCAACACTTGCACATTACATCATCGAGCACCAATGGAAGAGCCGGGATCTCTGCATAGAAACACCTGCAGAGGTGATTGGCTATTATAACTGGTTGATGCCGGGAGCGATCGCTGTGAGGGGACTGAAAAGTTGACGTTTTAACTCCTAACCGAACTGACAACTGATGATCAAACAATGACTTCAAAAAGATCGCTACATAATGTAACAAGGGCTTATGAAACATCTCGAGAAATGGTCTATGGCTATGTGCAGCACTGCCGTGATGCAGAAACGTTCGTTTTCTTTGCCGTTGACGTACCTGTATTTTCTCTTCATGGTCACATTGACAGCATGTGCATTGGCTGATCCATCAGCTTTCTTCCCCTGTTGGAAAACAATGTTACTTCCTCTCACATGCAAAACATCACATATTACAGTTCTAGTTAAATAGTGACATATTAATAAAAAAAAACAAATGTGGAAGTCTGCTTGACTTCCATTGCTTTTTTTTTTATACACATAGCTAATTTCTAAGGATAATTTGGAAGATAAGCCTGTACAAAACTTTCAAAATCAATTCTGAACTACAAACTTACAACACTTACTACAACTGAGTAAAGCTGAATTAGGTCAACAAAGCACAGTACAATGTGTGTTATATTGTTGGTAAAAAAATAAAATAAAATAAAGCCACAATGGCAGTTTTCAAATTTCATTTGACAGATAAAACTGACAAGAAAATTCTCAATATCCAGCATGCATTTCATTAGGCCGAGGTGTTCTGATCTACTTAAAAAACTATCAAAAATGTAGTCCAACATTTCTATCAACAAGGGAGTTGCAGCTCTGTGGCTAACTCATATACCTGTAACTGCTTCACAGTGAAACACGACAGCTGCTGACAGTCTGATGAAAAACATGAAACAAGGGGAAGTCGCTGGAAGGGCTTTGCTGTAAAGCGCCTGCATGTACAGTATATAATGTAAATTAAGCGTGAAGTTAGCCATTGGATGACTATCAAAAAGCAGGGGAAAGTGAAAAACACGTGGATACTGACCACTATATAATCAGGAGTCACCTACTCTGTGAACCTTGGCTGCTCTGCTACTGTTGCCATGTGTTTGTGGAAATTCAGAGCACAATGGTGATAAATTGGTACATCGAGCAGCCCCCCACCCACAAAATGAATGTATACAAACAGTATGCTCATGTTCACTTTAGCTGCAGAATGCCATGAACTTTATTGGTGATAGGGTTAGGGTTAGGCAACTGCACCTCCTTGTGGTTGTACGACATAGGGCACCCTCTCACCTTGGTGGTGTCAAAGGAAGAAAATCCCATCAGTTTCATCATCTCAATTTCGTCTTCTGTTTTGCCCTGCATGTCCTCCTCTGTCAAAAAATGATGGTATTGAAATGTGGTAAAAACATTAATGGTGCAGTTGAAAATGTCATAATCACTGAAAAAGCTGAAGTGACTCCTAATTTATGTGAATATAGTGAATACACAAATCCTTTCAACCCAGTACCTGAGATCTGAATGGACTTTGCAGTCTTTTCCTTAACGTCTTTGCGATCATCTTCACGTCGGTCAAGGGAGGAGGACCGATGACGCCTAGGGGACCTGCAGAAGAAGACAAAGAGGGCTGTAGGACGGGTTTTTGAATCCACAGGTTTAGCCGCGGGTTGCTGCAGGCATCTGCATGGTGTTGGGGCTTAAGTGGTTGGCGCAAATTTGTTGTTGTTATTGCAGTTTCAGTCGGCTGCCTGGCACAGGCTTACACACTACCTGGTTCACTTCTGTGCTACTTTCCCTGTTGTTCCGGGTTTCACTGGCTTTTAAGTTGAAGGCGCGTGGTTTACCACACTGTCGCTACCTGGCTTCAGTTGGCTATGTTTGTTGTTGTTTGTGTCGGTCAGGTGCGGCCACGCCGTACAACGGCAAATCACAGCACAGGTGTTGGCTCACAGCGTCACCTGGCGCAGGGGGGCCTTGAATCCGATTCAGAGGATTTCTAATGAATCGACTATTGATTGGGGGAAAATATATTCCAGGCAATGCGCATTGAATGATGGATGATTTTTAGCCCACGCCCTAATAAAAATGCTCGAGGGACAGTTGATTGAAGATAGTTGGCTTACATTTGATGCTTTTTGATAAGGTTTTGTAATATAATAAACACTGTTACACTTTTTGAAACTATTTCAGCTTGTGTAGGCCTATCAGTGCTTTCTGAACATATTGAACACACTTTCAAAAAATACCGCGATAATACCGAAAACCGTGATAATTTTGGTCACTATAACCGTGAGGTTAAATTTTCATACCGTTACATCCCTAGTTTGAGCAAACCACACAATCTACTTGAATGATCAGGAGATAATGAAAACAATGCATTATATGGATGTTTGAACAAAGGTACATAGTCTTTGTTGATATTGCACACATGATTGGATTCCCAGATGCATGGTATGCTGGCAGCCATACACGTAACTGTTTGTAAAAAGCCTCCAAAATGGGCCAAAGATTTAAGTCAGAATGTAGACATTCCCGTGGCTGGGAAAATGAACTTCATGCAGCTGCCATAAGAATGTCTATAAAGACAAGTCTGAATTTTGAATACTTTCATCTTATACACAATTCTGACAAGTTTATTGCATAAACGTCATTCTCTAATAAGTTTGGCTTTTAGGGATATAGACAGATAAAAGAACAAATGATAACTCACAATAAAAAGCTATTTGTCACAAACTAAACATTCTTATGGCTATTAGTATAACTTGTCTTGTAAAACTCATGCATCCAGTTAATGAAAAATGTAACCTCAGCCACCACTGTCACTTCTGTCAGAGTCTGGAGACATCACAGGTACCCTTTACTCCTCTTTGACCCAAGAAAAGGCAGTGTGCCTTTTGATGGACAGCACCACTTCACTCTTTTACATTGATGGTCAGTCACACAAACAAAAAGAGGGATGAGATGAGTTTCTCAGGGGAGTGAGGTTAATAAAATCAGGGTGTCTGTGTGTCCTGAGCGGGGGCCATATTTGATGCTCTAACAGAATGAAGGTCTTTGGCGGCCCGGCCTGGCAGTCTTTTAGCTAAAGCAAGCAGATTTCTTTGAAGCCTGGCCACCTTGGCTGCAGAGCCATTACTCCCGGGTTTTTCTTTACATTAACCATGCTACAGCAGCACAAGTGCATTACAGACTGCCGCCCCAGCAGGGCCCAATTGTACTCCCGCTTGTTAAATATTACCCCAACAGAGCTTTTGATTTTATTGTCATTTTTTTCTCCCCATACCGCTTATCCTCCTCCCCTCCCCCGATC